ATATATATATATATATATCTTTATTGATTTCAGAGAGGAAAGGAGAGGGAGAGAGAGAGAAATATCAATGATGAGAGTCACTGATGGGCTGCCTCCTGCACACCCCCAACTGGGGATCGAGCCCACAACCTGGGCATGTGCCCTGACCGGGAATTGAACCCTGATCGCCTGGATCCTAGGTCGACGCTCAACCGCTGAGCCACGCCTGGCGGGGCTCTGCCTCTGTCTTCACACAGCTTTCTTCCCTGGGTGTGTGGGTTCAAATCTTCCTCTCCTTTCTCTTAGAAAGATACTGGTTATTGGATTTAAGGCCCCTTCCTAACCCAGTATGATCTCATTTTAACTTGATTACACCTGCAAAGACCCTATTTCCAAATGAGGTCCCATTCACAGGTACTGGGGGTTAAGACTTAGAGACACAATCCAACCCTCTATAATTTACATTGGCGGAAACTGCAGAACAATGGCTTAACATAGGGATGGAATCTTATTTGTGAAAAAGTTCTGGATGAAATGAAGAATTTCAGGAGCAGGGGAGGTAATAGTAATAGGATAAGCCAGGTTGCCAGGAGGGCTTCTTGAACAGTGAAGTACCATGCGTGATCAAACGATACAATTTTACTCATGAAAAAAAATCAATCTGGAAGCTGGACATAGAAAATATTTCGGGATGATAAAGTGAGGAAGTTCGATTAAGAAGATGTCACAGTGCAAAGGTGAGGAGACAGGCACAGGATTAGACTGAGCGCCCCAGGAGGCTGTTAATTTTGCCTGTTTTGTTCAGCGATATATCCCAAGAACCTGGAACAGTGTTTGTGACATCATAGGTGCTGGATACACAGTTACCGAATAGATGAATGGGCGGAGGAAGTAGCTTGGGCGGTAGGAAAGGAGAGGAAGGAAAGCCGCCAGAGGCCGTTCAGAGGCGGACCGAATCAGCTGGCCCTGGCACAAGACAGGGGTGGCGGAGCAGCATCGGTTGGGCATCGCTTAAAGTCAAGCCTATAACGGGCACCTGTTCCAGACAGAGCTGAACCTGTCCCCACGGCCTGCAGCCTGGCACTACCTGAGACCCCGCGCGACTCCCCGCCCCAGTGTGCGCCTGGGGCACAGGCGCACAACCTCACTCACGCCCGAGCGTGTCCTGCGCTGCAGGATGCACACAGTAGGGCCCCACCCCCAACTTTAGATGAACTTATGAATAAATAGATTTCCGCATTTACGCAAAATTGAAAGATTTCCCCAGGTCTGAACCCGGGGTTTTTACACTCTGCAACGCTTCCAAGCGCCTGCCTGGCACAGAGCGCCCCAGAGCCCTTGTTGAGCCAAAGAGAATAAATCAGAGTCGCCCCGTTCCGCGCGGGCAGGACGGCAGCATCCACCCGTAAATCCTTATGTAAGAGTCCATGGCCCTCCCAGCCCGCTGACACCCTCCCTCGGCCGGAGAAGTGGAAGAAGGGAAGCGAGAGGAAGCGAGCGCGCTCTCCACACACACTCTCCCGGCGGCAGTCGCACAGATTAATTCCCAGCCTCCGTTTCCCACCACGATCCTAAGGC